CCCCGGCTAATGGTCCCTGCAGACATGCGACAGAAGCATCCGGGGATAAATAATTAACTGGATATGAGAAAACTGACTTCAATTTCAATCTGGCTAAAGAGGAAATTGGAAAAGTATTGAATTGTCAGTTTTAACTGTTACAATTTCTATAGCAGGCTCCTAGCGTAATAGGCCCGTCCTTATGTGGCGTCTTTGCTCTCTACAACTTCGCCAAAACTGTCCCGTGCGATTTTTTGGATTTAAAAATTTGACAAATTTATTAACATTTTTGTTTTCAATTCAGCGAAGATTTACAGGTGTGAATAATGAAGAGCTTTGACCGATTTGCAGTGATTTGGTGAACTTAATACAAAGGAGACTGTATGCTAACATGTGTTAATATGGCGTTACACGTACCCTTCCGTGTTGAATAAATGTGTACACTATTCAGGGTATTAATACATGGTTAACAAGTAGCTACATATCCTGGGCTGGGAATTCCTTGTGTTTTACCTTCATAGAGACTGCGCACATGGAAAAGCAACTAATAGTTCTGGGCGCAATAAAAAGCAGGAAAATGGTAACTATGATTTACAAATTAAAGCACAAACGCCGAATTATAATTTAGGCACTCTTGTATTTTTCCTGTGTATATCCTCTGCGCTGTTAATGTGCTGTTTATGAAATGACAGAAAAAACATATACAAAAGAGAGAAAGAGAGAGAGAGAGAGAGAGAGAGAGAGAAAAGCCCGCTGCTGGGTTTCAAAATCAGATTTAATTGGTTTGAATTGCTAAAAAGTGGTCGGCCCGTCTTCCGTCCCCCAGCCATCCCATTACTCCAGGAATAAAAACGAATTTTACGGTGTTAGCAAAAGATTTACGATTCGCAGGAGGGGGAGGGGGGCAATCTCACGAGGGGGGGCACCGTATAAGAGCCGAGTGGCCATAAACTGGAACAAGCATAAACATTCCGCACTTTCAGAGAAAGTCGGAACAATAAAACTGGGCTGTAAGCCCCCGGCAAACAGATGGTGTCATAATACTCATGGGATTGAGTTATTAAGCAGAGTAAAGTAAACAGTCTACTCCAATTT